TAATAATAATAATGGTTTATTATGAAATCCACAGGGTGGCTCTTCCTCCGTAAAAAGTATACTACTCTACATTACACTAAGTAAAACAATATAGATTAAATACATATACAATAGATAAAATATATATATAATAGAATATTAGTAATTAAATTAATTAAATGAGATAGGAACTAAGAAAGATATGCATTTGTAGTTTAAGTGTCCCTTGAAGTGGCAAGATGTTTTTTTAGTAGCCTGGCAAAAGTTGCGAAATCTTTACACTGTCTTATGCTAGGAGGTAATTCATTAAATAAGTTTGCAGATGTGTCTTGGAAAGTTCCCTTTTCTAGAGGAGTAACCAGTCTAATTGCATTGCTAGATCTGAGACATCTGACATTTTGTACTATATCCAATGAGAGATAGGAAGGCCACTCAGCATTATATAAAGCCTTATGTACAAGTTTTACTAGGTGATTATATTGTCTCTGTTGCTTTATAGGAAGCCAGCCTAAATTATAGATTGTATTAGTGTCATTTACATAATTTCCAGTAACAAAACTTGCTGCGCAGAATTGGACGCGCTGAATGCGTTTTAAAAGAAAATCGGGCAAAGGATTAAGAACTGTATCACAATAAAACAATTTGGAGAGAACAAGAGATTCTGCTAAATGCTTTCGAAGTTTAAAATCTGCAAAATGTTTGATCTTCCTTAGAATACTTAAAGTGCCATAACAGGATTTGCACAGTGATATTATATGCTCATTCCAACTAAGGTGTTTATGAAAAACGACGCCCAAAATTTTGTTGGCATTGACATAATCTAAGTTTTTATCCAACACTGAGACAGTGGGATGATTATTATCTAAGCTATGGACTCGGGACATCTGGCTTGTGCTGACTAGCATGGCTTTGGTCTTTTTGGAGTTCAGAGCAAGATGGGAGTTGCTCGACCAAGTACTAAGGGCTTCTAATGTGTCATTCATCTTGCTTGCTGTTTGAACGAGTTCGGCAGGACGACAACTTGTCAAGATGGTAGTGTCGTCTGCATACTGGTATGAGGCGACAGAAGGTGGTAGATGTTCCCTCAGATCAGAGACGTTCCAATCCAAATAGCTTTCATTTTTTTGGCAAATAAATCTTTAAATAAGAATTATCAATAATCACTTAATATACTTATCTGTGAAAATTTGAGTGCAATCGAATCGAAATTTGCGACGTAGTTGGAGTTTAAAAATACGCGCTCAACACTACTTATTACGATCAATCATGATTCTGTTTACGTCGAAAAATGCAACTAACTTCTTTGAATTTTGTTTTAGAAGTCAAGCCTTAAAGGGACATGGTCCACTAGCATGCAGTGCGGTCGTGTTTTTTCATATATGGAAAATGAGGTGACTTCGAATATCCATTTGCAATCTGTTTCCATCCATCGGTTTAACTGTTGAATCTTAAAGGTCTCCATTCATATAGGATAAAGGAATAATAAAGAGTAAGTTTTTGCTTATATTACTAACGATGTATTTCTATTTTCAAACATAAACAAAAGCTCGAAAGGGATGCTGGTGGACCATGTCCCTTTAACACAGGTTGATATACTTTACAAAATGCCATTACAGTACTGATCATGAGTCTCTCACGTGGTCTCTAAACCATTTCACATAGTATACATAATTAACAGACTCATAAATCGTGTTATTGATATGTAATTATTGTATTACGAAGTTTTTTTATTTTTTATTTTTAAGGCGGTGCGGAAGGAAGGTCTGATTCAAAGGCTTTCCAAGAATTTCCAATTTTTGATCGATTTTTAGAACACTTCCCCCACTCCCCACCCCTCTGGAAATTCCGATAAAAATGCAGGTATTACCCCCATCCCCTCTTAATTTCTGTCAATACAAGATAGTTTACGCATTTAAAGGGACACTGTCAATGGTTGACATGCGCAGTAACAGTCTCACCTTTAACAGACTTTGAAAGTATTACCTTGTGAGGTAAATCATTTTGTGGTGCTTTTGACACACTTTGGAATATTCTAGATCTGTTTACGTTTACGAGCTGATTTATGTCGCGCCAACTTAGCCTAATGTTTTCAAGTTTACTCCCGCATGCGTGCCATTGACAGTGTCCCTTTAAATACGCCTGGTATAAAATCAATTTTTTTTTTAATCAGAAACCTTCTTGTTCTATTTGAAACTATTTGCCCAAACAAGACTGTCTAGTGTAAGCATACTACTTGTACTTCTGATGCCTAGACCGATGCAATCTGATGAGATCACAGATACCACATTTGTAAACGAATAGTTTTTTTTATCACATAAGGGCGCAAGTAGAATCTAACATTTACTAATGATATTCGTACATCTGTACGTTTGAGCTTCCTGCCATGTGATAACACAGGCAACCCAAAACGCGACAAAATACATAAATAGATAGGCTAAAAGGTAAAACTTAAGTCGACCTAGCCTTCGGCTAGTCCGACTACCAAGTACATGTATTGGGTTTTAGTTTCGCAGACTTGTAAAATGGGTGGGTGAATTTTAGAGCGGTAATCTACTCACAGTTGTCAAATAACTTATTTAAAGAGCGACCAGTGAGTTAAAATATGGAAATAACGCATATCAATTTTTTGTAGATCGATTGCAGATTAACCCCCTACCCTCTTAGAATTTCCAAAATCCTCCTGTTCTATATAATGTTCTTATTAATTGATTTCACCATACTGATAGTCAATTTGTGTCGACCCAAATAACTTATATTTTATTTCGTTGATTCTTACATTGAACCAAATGCAGTCAAAAACATAACAAAAGTTCTGATAACACGCAATTTACATCCATTATAAATTATTGTCGAAAACAGATGTCTTTGTGAATGAAGTTTACTGCAAACAGCTCAAGAGAAATTGAATTGAATATCGAAAGTGAATTGGCCAATAACAAAACGAAAAAAAGGCGCTTAAAAAGCGCTTGTGGTTACTCCAAAAACTGCTTGTTATGAATATTTTTAGATTTTAATGTTTTACTATGTGTAGGAAAGAATATTTAAGTAATTTAAGTTGAAGRTCTGATATTTTGGGAATTGCTTGTAATGTGTTGCTGTCAGGGCAGACATTCACCTAATTGGAAAAACCTTATAATAGAGAAGCAGCAAATTTAGTATAAGTTTGGAAATGTTTTATTTTTGGAAATAGGTGGAAATGGAAAAGGTGGCGGAAATGTTCTATTTTTTTTACAATTTTGCGTACAGAAATRATAAAGCACTATTGACTTTGTCAATATCAAAAATAGGCTTATTTTGATGTAAGGCATGTTACAGTGT